AAATATCTAAATTTTGAAGTAAGAAACTTACCAGTTCAGATCGTAGAGGTTCCTAGACGGAAGCTCCGATCTAAAGCGTCCGAGCTAGGTCTGCGGCTGAGGTCGGAACAACGACTGTTTCTTCCGTGGGTGCAGCTCATTCTCCGCCTTGCTCTGTAGGCCGCTCCAGTTCGATGTCGTCGGCCACCTTGGTCTTTCCCTTTAGGGCGGTGACATAGCACTTGCGGGACTCAAGCTGGTCGCCCCGCGCTACACCCACACCGAAGTCTGTAGGGAACTTCATTGCCAAATGATAAGTGGAGACCACCGCCCGTAGGACATGGGTGATCGGCCGACCTATTATGGCATTGTATGGAGAGGGGATCGCGACCACCAGGAAGTCGTGGTTGAGTCTAACTACGCAGGACCATGTGCCGACTTCCACAGGTACTGTTACTTTCCCAAGGGGCCGGACTTCTTCTCCGCTGAAGCCCACCAAAGGAGTGTTCGCGGACTCAAGTCACTTCCCTACAACTGAAGCTGGTCGAACGCGGCTTTGAAGAGAATATCTGCCGAGCTGCCCGAGTCAACGAGTACGCGCCTGACCTCGAAGTCATTGATCCTCAGCTTTATCACAAGCGCGTTGTCGTGAGGGTAGTGGACCCCTCACGCATCGTCTTCTGTGAAGAAAATTGGCTCTTCTGTCTTCGGCCGCTTTGGAGGATTCTATTCTTCCCGAGCAACTTCACGAACTGACGACCGAGCTGCCGCTGAAGTACAACCCGCGACGATCGAGCCTCCCACTATCACGTGGATGGTGCCCCGAACCGGCCTCTCTTCCAGAGGGTGCCTCTATGATTGTTCGGCCGGCCTGCTGCTGGACTCGGGAGCATCCTTACCGTGCTTCCCTTGCCAACCTGTTTTATTATTATTATTATTGTTATTTTGTACAAAGTTCCTTAAATATCCGCGACGGATGAGCCCCTCAATCTCGTCGCAGAGGTTTTTACAACTTTCGGTATTGTGACCGTGATCTCTATGAAAACTACAGTACAAGTTCTTATTTCTCTCGTTGGGATTTCCCCTCAAATGGGGTGGCCACTTCACATACAGGGCGTCCTTGATCGCCATCAAGATTTCGGCCCGCTTCGCGTTCAGTGGGGTGTAATCAGTTCTGTCCGCTACAGGAGCTCGGAACGACTGACCCGGCTTTGCCCCCCGAGCTGCATCTTTTTTCTTTCGGTTGTCCCCTTGGCTGGAAGGCTCTCCTTCTCTTTTCCTCTTCTAGGGCGTGCCCTCGCCCTTCTAGTTGATCTCTTCCTCCGTGGCTATAAACCTATCTGAGAGCTTAAGGAATTCGGTTATGGTCGTTGGTTGGTTGACGACCATGTGCCATTTGAACTCTTTATGCGTCACGCCTTTCTTGGCTGCTGCAAGGCGCACGGCGGGGTCCAGGCGCGGTATCTGCATGCACGCATCATTGAACCGCTTGATATAGCCCCGGATGGACTCTCCCTCTCTCTGCACTATGTTGAGGAGGCTTTCTTCAGTTC